GCTCTCTAAAAGTTATATATATACGAAAAACACGTCTTAAGCTTAAGGTAGCATTATATAAAGTTGTATAATCACTACTTGCTAATAGGCTTTATATAACATGTCTTACGTAGAAGGTCAGCTATATCTTATACATAATTAATCTAGGGCGGGAATTCTCATAAGTCTAGGTCAAGGATATATTATATAAGCGTCTCTTCTTTAGTCAGGATCAAATTATATTAGGTATTACGTTCTTTAGCCTTCAGGGTACAGCCCTTTATTTGATTACAAAGAGTACTTTAAGGGACATTATACGTCTTTATAGCACATCAGATTAATATTTCTTAGTATGTACAGATAGCCTGGATAGTAAGGAGAATTCTGGCTTCTTGAGATTAAGAATTTATAGTGTTGTTATATTATAGCTGCGTATGATAGTTAAAAGATTATAATAAGGAAGAAAAGTACGTAGGACACTTGTATATACAGAACGCTTGTGAACTACATTAATTTATTTAAAGAAAAATAATTTAAGTAAGTAAGCATTTTCTAAGAAGACCTTAACTAGGATTTAATTATTAATATAAGACAATTCTAATTAGGCAGGCATATAAGGGATAGTAGCACTTACAAGACTAGTATAGATTACTTATACGTAGCTTATAATCCTAAGAGTAACTTTCTAGTTAATGCCTAAGATAAGGGCTTCAATTTTCTCTAGTCTAGACTCGACTAGAGATAGATTATATAGGGCTATACAAAGATATATATAGACAGCTAAAAGAAAAGAGGTAAGGAGAAAGAGTAATAGATTGTCAGGTAACAGAGAGAGAAGGAAGGGCAAAGATTCGAGTTTTTCGATTATGCTAAGAAGGCTGGCTCTTTGCGTTCTGTCGTTAGATAGAGCGGGAGGGGAGTGGAGAGGAGAGGAGGGCTGCAGGATTTGGGAAGGTTGCTTATTAATAGAGGGTAGGCAGTTCGCTTGCGAAGAGGGCACGCTTTAAGTAAGCGATAGGTTAGGCATGTCAAAAATATCTAAATACTATTATAATATACTCTTAATTAAGAGTAATTAATTTTTTAAAAGAAAGAATAATATAATAAATAAAATATCTCCTTTATTATAATATAGGAAATATACAAGACTAGCCACACACTCAGATAATAGTGCTGATAGCGTATCCATAACAGCACACAGAACTCTTACTGTCAAGCTACTATGCCGCTGATAAAGGCATTCGTACAGCACGTGGCTCCCCGTACGAGTATGGAACAGGAGATTGATACGACCCCTTTAGGGAAGTACAATCTCCTCTAGAGGGAAGCTACCGCTTCTGGCCCTGCAGATACTGCGTCGGATCCTCCGCACAGGTTAACTAGTAGCACCCCTGGTATTCGATAGAGGAGTATATAGAGTAGAACGCTGGCCGCACTGTAGATAGACTCCTCAGCTTACGTTTTAGCAATCTATGGACTATTGACTTGTTCTAGTTTCGAGCCATTGCACAAAGTAACTAATTGAAACTCCGACCTTGTATTTATTGCTGCGAAGATCTGTTGAGAAGTTCTCTTAAAGAGTGGCGTCTTCGCGGCGAGGCATTAGAGCAGTTATAGCAGTTATAGAGCTGTAATCGTCGAGTTGCGAGCGTGGTGTTGATATGAAGGTCTGTTGACAGAGAGTGCGTAGGAAGTGACTGTCTAAATTAGGCAATAGGGCTTCCGAATCCGGACGGATATAGGGCTCAAAATCTTGGCGGAAACGTAAGCTACGATGAATTACGAAGAAATAAGCCTGTAAGAATGTAAGCTATAATAGATTACGGTAATTTTGATCCCTGCTGTCGAAGTCACCTCGCCGAAGTCACCTCTCCTAACACATTCCGTGAAATGTGGGAGTTGAACGTGCAGAACTCTTAGAGAGTAAACCGCGTTGCTTGTTTAGGGTATGGTAGTCAGGAAGGGAATAATCCTTCAGCAGGAAGCTTCGCCGGTCACTTCCAGATCTTGACAGGCAGATACTGTTTATGTGTGACTGATCTACGCGGCTGGGACAATTGCTGCCAAAGCGCCAGGTTTGTTTGGTATCATGGTTGCCTGCTTTTACATCTAATTAACCACCGACGCCTCTTTTATTTTATTAGCCTAATAGCCCACTCGTGCCGAACAAATCCCCGCGTCTTCTTATGATTTCAAAAAGTCTGATTAAAAATCCTCCATCAATCCTGTCCCACTCCAACATTGCCTCCACGGATTTCGTGAGCTCTTCTCTTCTCACAGATATGGCGCAAATAGAAGGACGTTAGCAAGGAATGTGGCGGAAGGCGAGAGAGAAGAGCGTGGCATGTGTAGTCATATAATGCTAAGCAGTCCTAATTGTAGAGCGACTTTTTCGACGAGGGGCGAAGGGCAGAGATGCCGCGCCACCAGTCGGTAACTGACCTAAGGAATATGGAATCACCCTTCCTTGATGGCCTCCTGCTGCTGCTGCTTACAGTGCTCCACATTCCCTTCCTACTACATTAAACATCGGCCTTCTCTTGAGCCGCTCAACGATTGCGAGATGGCCTCCTTCTGCTGCTGCTTGCAGTGCTGTTCTTCCTCCATATCCTGCTGCTGCTGCATTGACGTTGGCCTTCTCTTGGATTAGCCGCTTGACGACTACGAGATGGCCTCCTTCTGCTGCTGCTTGCAGTGCTGTTCTACCTCCCTCTGCTGCTGCTGCATTAACGTCGGCCTTCTCTTGGATTAGCCGCTTGACGACTGTGAGCTGGCCTGCTCCTGCCGCTGCTTGCAGTGCTGTTCTTCCTCCTCCATATTTTGCTGCTGCTGCATTGACGTCGGCCTTCTCTTGGATTAGCCGCTTGACGACTGTGAGCTGGCCTGCTCCTGCTGCTGCTTGCAGTGCTGTTCTCCCTTCCCATGCTGCTGCTGCTGCATTGACGTCGGCCTTCTCTTGGATTAGCCGCTCGACGACTGCGAGATGGCCTCCTTCTGCTGCTGCTTGCAGTGCTGTTCTTCCTCCCTCTGCTGCTGCTGCTGCATTGACGTCGGCCTTCTCTTGGATTAGCCGGTCCACAACCGCGATATGATTCAGAGTGGCCGCCAATGCTAGCGGGGTCTGCCCAGAGTTGTCCTTTGAGTCCAATTGAGCGCTGCATTCGATCATGAGTTTCACCGTAGTCTTGAATCCGTTCCCGGCGGCCCTTGATAAGGGTGTCTGGCCATTCTTATCTCTTGGATCGAGTTCAGCCCCTCTTGTGAGAAGTATTTCCACCACTTCATCGTGACCTTCTCCTGCAGCGCAATGCAATGCAGTTTCCCCTCTTTCTATTGTACAATTCACTTCTGCCCCTCCTTGTAACAATAGTTGTAGCATTCCTCGGTGCTTAACTGTTGCTGCTACATGTAATGCTGTTTTCCTAGTCCCATTTTTCTCGTTTTCACTCGGTGCAGATAACGCTACAGTATTCTGTCTATCTATAGCAGATATCTCCGTTACCACGAAAATCTCGAAATGCATGTGTATCCAAGAGCCAACCTCCGTCGGAAGAGTTACAGTTATTGTTCCTTCCGAGCCAATCTGAGATTCAGATGGCCATATATTGTTTTTGCTGAAATTCGGAGAGCATGAAAATCTACTGCAGTCAGCACATAGACTTAGATCGGTCAAGTAATAAAGCGCGTCTTGTTTGGTTATTTCCCAATACAGTCTACAGATCGCGGCCTGTATAACTTGTAGTTTGATCGGTCCATACGTGCTAGACATCGGAACTGAAACAAGTGACCATTTGGGTACCAATGACAGCGGCTCGCCTAATAGGTTTCCTTTCTGAGTCGTGTATTTAGGAACTAATATGACAGCCTCTCGAGCTTGATAGCAAGTACTCCAGTCACAAGGCTCTGCACAGTGAATTGGTGCTTGGATTGACTTCGCAATCGCCCGTTCAAGCCTTGATATCCCAATCAAATGTTCATAGGAGCGTGCGTTGAAAGAGATTTCATAGGCTACAGCAAGAGTACCATGCTGTGGAGCCTCTTGCACGAGAAGGTTGTAAGAGACGTGTGGTCCGTAGTCGCCCTCGGAGATTCCAGCGTCAGCTACGAGATCATTTATTCTCTCGTACTTCACCCCTTCAAAATCAATAAGACCAGCAACAACTCTAACAATTGATGCTTCTTCCGGTGATAGATTAAGGTCCTCAAGTGCCTTGAAATAAACGCAGATACCGTCATAAGAAAGAGCAGAAGGTTCTTTCTCAACGCTGGCCCAACTGCTTTTTGACCCAGAAAAAACTGCTAAGACAGCTGTTAAAATATCAACGTCATTCGTGGGAAAATATGCTGGCTGAGCAGGATTCCAGTGCTTTTGCTTGATTTGGATGTCTTTTACACGATGAGATCTCCCTTGATGCATCATGTAGAGTAATTGAAGTCCGTATGCGGAAGGCTTAACAGACGAGTCCACTTGCGTTATCGATAACATCCATAAAAAGATAATTATTGTCTCAGCGATAAGTTTCAGGCAAAATTGCGGTGAATAAGAATCGGGTTTTGTTTCTCCACCACGGCACCACTTACACATACATTCTAGGGTAATCCTGTCAATAGACTCCTCCCAAATTGCATTTGTGTAATTCCGCATCCCGGCTTGGTCAAGCGTATTTATAATCGCAGCAAGTTCTGGGACTTGTTTAGATGCGAAATCTAGAAAGGCCTGACCTCTAGCGAGTGAATGGCTGAAGTTGAATCGACGGAATGGAAAGCTGTGCTCAGCGGAATCAAGCTGTGTACTGCGCTGCATCGGCCCATAACGGTAACACCCTTCAGCGAGGCGAGATGCATTGAACAAGAGGAAAGCGAAACTATGCTGCATAGTTCCTTTAAGTAAACTATCCAGATGGCGACCAAAGGTGTCTGAAAGTATTTTCGCCCATTCTGAGCGACCTCCTTTGAAGCTGGGTTGGTCTGGCTCAGGATCCCTGATAAACTTAAGACCTTTCGGAACAACGTAACATTTAGTCAATTGAATTGAGGGTTCATTGTCCGAGATGAAGATAATTGTGACCGCAGATGAGCAGCGATGGCCGTGCGTTGATGATCTATACACCGTATCGCCTAAACCGAGACGAATCTCGACATCCAATGCTAATAACCATTCTGAAATAGCAGCCAGCCACATGCAGTCGAGTCCGCCAGCAATCGTAATATTTGCCAATTTACCATTCGACACATCAGCTAGAGCTCTAATCGCTTTTGCCAGAGCCTCTCTAGACGTGGGTCGTTGGAATGATAGCTCAGCCCGAGAGTGTACGAGGCGTATCAACCCTTCAAGAAGGGTGGGAAACTTGGAATTTGATACCGACCCTGCACACATACCAACCAGCACTTTCCACTGATGGACTGATGGAACAAGGTCTGGAGGAGTTGCCAGGTATTTGCAAAATTCTCGAAGAACTTCAGCGACATAAAAGGAGTCATACGAAATGGACATGCATGCACACAAAGCGACACATGCCATTCCATGCTCAGTATCAGCAAGATCCTTTATTGTCGACTTTATTCCAAACCCGAACCAGACGAGTTTCCCGTAAGACGAAAAGGATTTCAAACTAGACAGAGCATCATAGATCCTTTTCTGGGCTTCGGCCTTAATCACAAATCGATTACAGGCTATGCGGCCAATGATTACTGTAGCCGGGTTGAGTTCCGCTTTGGAGAGTCGTACCAGTACGTCAAACCCGAACGTGATTGTAGATTTGGACAGAGACACCCAGTCAAGTTGACCCGACTGCTGGAAATTTCCACCGCCTGTAGGTACAAGAGCGCCAGACATAGTTGTGTATTACATAGAGGAACCGGCCAAAGGTCGGACGATTGCTGAAGTTCGGGTAGTGGCTCCGTTTTCTGACCAATTAATAGTAGAATTTCTTTATGATAGTATCGTGGGGTTTAGGAAAGGCCTTTAGCGGAATGTGGAGATTCAGCGGGGCTAGGCAGTACTTACCTCAGCGAGCTCAAACGCGTTTGCACGCAAGCGAGCACGTGACCTGCTCGGGGAACTGAATGAAACTTTAATGCTTTTAGGCCGGCATTAAAAGCGGCTATTCAGCCAATTATAAATCTCGGCATATTACGGGAGAGAGGTGGATACAATCTTCCGATGTCCGACTATCCTGCAAAATCGCGTAGGAAACGACAGAAGAGGGCAGAGGAACCGCGTCAGGTTCCCAGTACAGTGTCTATGGAGGTGTAAACAGAGCAGCAAAACCTTATGTTATTCCGCTAGCATTTATGCGAGACAATCTTCGCGAGGCTACGCGGTCGAGGTAGGGCATTTCCGAAGACTTAATTAACGCAGTCCTCCCCTTCAATTGAGAGTGCCCCCCTCTACGAATCTCGTTGTAAATCTGGCTATTCAACCAAATCGCCACATTCTCATCGGCTAATCGGCATGTCGGCCATTTGGTCTGTCCACGCCATCATAAACTATCGAACGGCGCGCCAAGGCCAAATATGAGGAGACAGTTGTCCATTCAATCTATCTACAAAAGAGCGTATTTATAGCTATATAGCAGGCTATCCTGCTGTCAAACATCACTGTCGCTATGGAATAGAATCGAATCGAAACAGGCCGCGTTTGGCCTCAAAAGAGCGTGTAAAAGCGTAGATATCCGTACCAAAGCGTAGAGCTATGGCCGTATGGACCCTCCGAATGCTTCCCAAATAGGAAGTAAGCGTCGAATGGAAGCCGACAGAAACTGACAGAAAGTGGGGAACCAAGGGTTGGAGGGACCGAAGAATAGCCGAAATACAGCTGACATAAACATTATCTGAATTGTAACTAGGCATTACCTTGGCTGCCTATAAGTTGTTGCGGCATGGTGCATATGAATCTCGGTCGCTGACTTGTCTCAACTGAATATGGACTTCCTCGCTGACTCCAGATCGCGCCAGAGCGAATGATGGCACCTGCTCTCGAACGCAAAGGAATAGCCACATCGAATAGACCGCCTGCGAAGCGACAAAAGGCCACTCGCAGTCGTGTGCGAAAAAATACTCCGACCGCGGGAGATCAAGAGCATTCAGGGTATCCGGACGAAGAGTGGCCTATGAAACGTATACTGCAAGAAAGGAAGAAGGAATACTTGGTCCTTTGGGCAGACCACCCTCACACAGGGGAGACTTATGATTCGTAGTGGGCATGTAGCCTCCAATTTCCAGTTATCTTGGCTGTGCTGACTGATGCAAGGTGAATGAAAAGGACGTTGGCGTAGCTGCGATTGAGGAGTGGGAGGCTGAGAAGCGGCAAAGTGGAAATCGTCTAGCCGACAGTGCAGCGAATCACCACAACCAGCACCCTAGAAGGTTGCGCTCCCACAGACGGGGAGAGATAGCTATTGGCACAGATAGGTCGAGCAAACCTGATGACTGTCTAGCAGACTGCCAACGTTTACTCCAAACTGCTTTCCCGGAGTCATACTGCACCACGCCCCCGAATGTGCCTTCTGGCCTGCTGATTACAACGTCTCCGAGTCGGATATCGTTTTGGACACTCGGGATGCCACCTCCAATACCGAACACCAAGCCGAATCGGATTTCTTTGAAAGTGTGAAACATTTGCTCGGCTACAACGGCAGCAGAAGTGGTCCCGTAGTCCGGTAGGCATGCGATTACGACATTGTGTCTCTGGATGCGACGGTAGGTGCTAAGGATTTGCAAACGAACATACAGAACCAGGTGCCAGAATGTCGATACAGATGGAGAAGGCGGCCACCGTTGCAAAGCTGAATCAGAGCAGCTTTTGTTCTATAAAGTCCTCGAGGTTCTGCCACCCTATTAGCGGATTTTCTGACTCTATGAAGAAGACCCATACCCAAAATCACAAGAGTTAACAAGTCAACTCATACCATCTCTTTCCTTCTTCTCGTATTAGATTGAGGTGAACCATCAAGGGTGGGGTTAAAGTTGGCACAGCACATTGAATGAACCTTCCGACCAAGATCAACCTTCGGAATCCGATTAGTGGCCTCATTGGTTCTTTAGAGCCTTAACTGTCGCTACCCCATATTTGTCATCTCCATTGTTCCTCAAGATTCTCTAGAATGTTGGAGTCCCGGGTAGCATCAACTCGTTTAATTCGCCTCATGCATCTCCCTCCGATTGGCTAGACACATTCCCTCTCCTTCAAGACTAAGCTTTCTTAGCCGACGTGCCCGCTTATTCCCAATGTTCCTGTTGCGATCTGCATTCCTGCAGGGTCCCTCCTCCATCGTACTCTCTATTATGAAGAGAAATCTGATTCCTCTTGTGCTCCCACAAACCCCCATGCTCCTTCCTCTAATGTTATAACAGCTTATCCCCCCGGACAAACCTTTCAATGCTTTACGTTCGCAATTCGTGAAGCGGCAGTCAAAGCGCTCTTCGGAAGGTGGGGGGAAGTGGGTTTTCATATGACGCCTGAGATCAGCGCTGCGCGAGAAAGAATGTTTGAAGGTGCAGGGGCTGACGGGACAGACGTAGTGTCGTTTGGGTCTAGGTCTCCTTTGCAGAGGTAAGGCGATTTTCGGGGTTTGTGGCGGAGGTCGAGTGCTTGGTAGACGTAATGTCAGCTGGATTCAAGGACGAGTAGGAAGTAAATGGATACGTACTTCGAGGCGCCGTGGCAAGAGTTGTCGCTTCCTCTTCCAGTCTTCACAGGTGCAACTTCACCAAGTGTAAGATCATAATCTGCGTTGCTAATCACACAGTTGCGGTCTGCAAAAGTAAGGGCAAGACCAGCCTGCACAGTGGATAAGACTCCACAGCGCGGTCCGAGCATTGGGATATCTGGCAATCCGTGACCTCTGCAATGCAAGCTGGTGTCATTGTAGCAGCATGTACCGTTGGTGGTGCTTTCCGTACTAGACCAAGAAGTGCTAATTGTATAAGCAATGTGTGAAAAGGATCTGGACGTGTTAGAGGCGCCGTACCTTGCGTATCCGGAATCAAAGCTTGACCGATAATTGTCGCTGATAAAGTCTGGCCTAGGAAAACAAGCGGCACCTGCGGATGTTGTATTTACAACGGAGAGCGGATTGGTAAAGACCTCGTAAATTCCGCCACCAAAAATGGCATTGAAGCCTAGTAAGTCGTCGCCGTGGGAGTTATCGGTTGCCAAATCGTGGAGATCCGCTGATTGGCACATGGAGCATTCATGAGTTCCATTGCTGATGTAACCATCATGGAGGTCGTGAGCGCTTTCAGTGCCAAGGAAGTAAGGGGTTTGGGTAGGTAAATCATCAACAACTTGAGGGGCCTCCATGTTGTAAGAGACGCTTATCGATATTGTCTAATTGGAGATCGCAGACTGCATGTGGCATTCATACTACGGTATACTCCGTGTCTAAGCAAGTTGGGTGGTGCCGTTCTTCAATGTGGGACTCTAGCATACTGTCGCATGTAACCCTCCTTGCTTGGCAGTTGATAGGAAAACGTTCTCGGGTTACCACTCCTTACTTAACAACTCGAATAGCATATAGTTCGATATCTCTATACTCGACCGCCTCATTCCGGCCAAGATAACCGCTGGATTCGACGACAGTTCCAGCACGCGCCGTCGTAGATGCGCAGAAGATGATCATGATCGCATGCTGGAGCCGCTACCGCTCTTCTGGATAGTATTCATCGCTGAGGACCCAATGATGGTGGAGTATGGCAAGTACGTCGTCCACGTCCATAATCGCTCTAAATCGACCGGTTTCCTTGAGCTCAAACTGACCGATCAACGTATCCATGATGAACTATGGGGGAAGGTCTTCCATCAGCGGATCATGAGAATTAAGCAATGATGGAAGGAGGGTGGGATCGCATACATTTTTCATGTCCATCTTGATGGATTCATCCACAGGGTCACCTGTATATACCCGAACTGCTATCCTCCAATTCTTTGCGAAGACAAAGAGGGAGGATGCTAATTTCATGTTCGAGATCTGACAGCTCCACTCTAGGAATGATCTAACAACTTGATAAGAGAGACGCTTCTAGCAAACTTCGACCGGATCGGGGCTTAGAAAATGATCCGAACTCTCGTAGACATTCTAACAGAATCCGGGGACGCCTGATCAGTGTCCGTTCAAGTTAAAGACAACGGGAATGACCTCAAAAAATGTAAGGGGAACTTACTGGATCCATCGTTTCCAGGTTTGTTCAAAGCCCAGTTTAGTACTCTCAGCATACTTGGGCGCTGTTAGTTTAGAGTGTTGACCGAGCTGGCCGATCAGCTCGTTAAACAGTCGGCATTGCCGTTTAGTCTTCGGCCTTGGACGATCGGAGGGCGAGATTCCCATGATTGGGCCTTTGAGATGGGCTCAGCTGTTCCCTGCGACTGAGATGGGGAATGGTGGCCATGGTGTTGTCGCGGAGAGAGAGCGGCTTCTTATATGCGTTTCCGAATCCAGCGAGCCGTTTCTGCCCTGATGGAGACTGAAAACGGGGCCGGCCGCGACCCCACCCAGGCAACGATGAAGGAAAGGATGGGAGCGCCAGAGGGGTGTGAAAACGAGATGTAAAAGGCACCGCTCTGGGTGGTTCACCAGGTTCAGGCGTTGGTCTTGGCGTTTAACCCCATCATCCCTTGTCTAGCGTGGATGCAGAGGGTGTCAAAAGCAGCGTCAAAGGGTCCCCCGATTTGGCACCCTTTGCACCCTCATCTACAGATACTCCGTACATACGTGATAGGGAGTTTCCGTACAACTACAACTGCCGTAACTAATCTGTACGTTCTCCTGCAGCATCGACTAAATACTTCACAGAGCCTACCTCTAGACCTGCGTCATGCCTGAGCTACTGGACTGGATATTACAGAACGAAGAGTCCTTTCGCAAGTAAATTACCAGCTCCCTTCCAATCAGTGCACCTTAATCCTCACCAATAGCGCCTGCTGACCCACCCAGATCCCGCCTTCCCTCGCTGTACTCCGACCTGTCTCTCCAACGGCAAACCAACCTTGACGGCTACAACGCCAACATACACGCCTGGCAGACCGCCCTCTCACACGCCGCCCTCGCCGGCCACCTACCCTCCTCCGCCTCTTCTCCTTCCATCCTCACGCTCCAGACCTCCGAACAACTTCTCAGCGCCCTATCAAGCCGGCAGTATGGACGTCCGCTCGGTCTCGGCGCTGTCATCGACGAGAGCGTGCGGAGCGGGAAGATGATACCTAGAAGCGATTTCTTGGGGTCTAAGAAGAGTATCTATGCTAGGAGTTGGGTGCCTAGTCCGTGGTCGCTATTGAGTTGGGGGTTGAAGACGATCGGGTTGCTAGGCGAAGAGAGCTGGGATGTTCATGGGAGGTTGAGAGTGGGAGAGTTGGTAGTTGTGGAGAATGTCGAGAGGTTGGGTGGTGAGGTTCTCAGCAGACAAGAGAGCAGGGCGCAGGGCGTTACGGATAGGGTAGTGAGCAGGGAGGCTTTCGCAAAGGAGCTGGCAAGTGGAATTGGCGGTACAGAAGGTGTGGGACTGTCAGAAAAGGATGTGGAGATTCTACTGAAGTTCTTGGAGCGAGAAAAACAGGCTATATCCTATAACGAGAAAGTTGTCAAGTTCAAACAACCATCCGCTGCTCGACCAGAGCCTATCACGCAACAAGATGTCACCATTGCATCGCTCAAAACACTCATTTCGACTTTAACATTACAATGCGAGAACTTGTCCGCTCGCATCTCATCGCTTACTATCACCGCCTTCGTAGCGGTAAAATCATCCAACCGTATCTCTGCACTCTCCGCCCTCCGTTCTAAAAAGCTCGCCGAAAGAAATTTAAAGCAGCGTTCCGATACGCTTTCGCAGCTAGAGGAGGTGTACACCAAGATTGAGCAAGCGGCTGATCAAGTCGAGATCGTGAGAGTCATGGAAGCCAGTGCAGGGGTCTTGAAAGGTATGAACAAGCAAGTGGGGGGTGTGGAGAGAGTGGAGGATGTGATTGAGGAGCTGCGGGAAGAAATGGGCAAGGTGGACGAAGTTGGAAAGGTCATCAATGAGCCAATGGGAGCCAGGGAGCAGGTCGATGAGAGCGAGATTGACGATGAATTGGAGGCTATGGAGCGAGAAGAAAAGGAGAAGGAGGCAAGGAGAGTGAAGGAGAAGGAGGAAAAGGAGGCAGAAGTCACACGGAGCAGGTTGGAGGAAATCGCAAGGAGAGAAGATCTGGAAGAGACAGAGAAGAGGAGAAAGGTGGAGGAGCTGGAGCAGGGAATAAAGAAGTCACAGGAATCAGATTCGGTGCCAAATGAAGCCGTAAATCAGCTCGATGCTAGCACAAAACGCCTAAGCCAGATGAGTCACGAGGATGATGCAGCTGGCAAAACGCATGACACAGATGGCATGCAAGGAGTTCAGAAAGCGGTCGCGGAAGGTTCATCATAAAACCCAACTTGAAATGGGTTCCTCATTGAGTGAGCGTTTCAGCAAGCGTCATGAATGTTTACAGTGTGGTAAGAACAACTAGAGGAGTATCTCGGTAGGCTTAGAAGTATACATCGTAGGCGATCATGTATCCCTTAAGCCGCGACACCATTGATCTGTGAGCCTTGACTGTGCTGCTGCTGCTCAAGTGGTGGTTTTGCTGGCGACGTCAAGTCAACCACGCCGGTCGAGGAACGATGAGGGTCTGCCACGGGTTCTAGACTGTCTAGCTTTCTAGCAGCCTCCCCTTCAGATCCTTCGTGTTTCAGTTCACTGGGTCCTCGTTTGTGTGCTTTTTCTCTGGCTTTTCGGATGAGATCCGCAAAATCGTCCTTATTTGACCTCGTCCAACCTTCTACATCGAAGTCCTTTGCCATGACTCCTGCAGGGCCTTGGGCATTCGCAATCTGCCGTCCTTGAGTCCTTTCCCAGATTTCCAGCTCTCGAAGAAGTTCTCTCTTTGTGTGCGGGTGACTGGAGTCGCAGCTCGCATTCCAAAGGTTCATCCATTCCATATGCCGCCTTTGCATTAAGGCCTTTGGACCATAGGAAGGAATACCAATCTCCGCCAATTTCTTTCTTAGCGCTGTCTCAGTCAGCAGTGAATAGTTTAGTGCTCCCAGCCGTTGTCTCGCCTTGCTTGGTGACTGGACGCTGTAAGCGACAGAAGTCGATTGTTTTCGATTTACTGGAAAATCTTTTTGTGGTGTAGATGACCGTAGTTCCCCACTGCATTGGTCTAGATGCGGGAAGACTGCCTCTTCTTTCATCCTGCTGCCGCACATAGGACATGCAACCAATCCATCGGCTGGCTCAGATAACAGGTTTTCGGTCATTGCACCCAAATCTTCGTAGCTATACTGGCTACCGGCATCCTCGCTATCCTCAACGCTAGGCTGCCCTTCGCTTTCTTGACTTGTTTGTAGTGCCATGCGGCTTTTTGATCTTGTAGATCTTGTCGGTAGTTCAGACACTACTTTTGGCCCACTAGGCTGCTGTGTTCGCCTCCTCTTCGATGGTCTTCCCTCGAGCGCTCTGTCATCGATCTCTTTACTCCTTGTTTCTTCTGCGATGCTTCTTGCAAGTCTCAACAGATGCTCTCGTTGCTTTTCATAAACATTAACACATTCTTCCATGGCCCAATTCCTCCTTAACTTGGACTCTTGGTCGCCACTCCGGCATGCAGGACACCGGCCATCTTGCGACAGACATCTCCGGATACACAGACTACAGAAGGTGTGAGAGCAAGAGGTGATCATGGGCGTTGTAAATAGCTCTTTGCAAACATGGCACTGCAGGGCGGATTCGAGCGAGGACAACGATGATAGTGGAGTTCCGACCCAGTCTGTGGGATCAGGCACTTCACCGTTCGAGGGCATTGTCTGTTCAAGAATAGAAGCGAGTCTGGAATTCGTGATGGCTTAGACAAGGCGTGGCTTCGCTATAGAACCTCCAAGCATCAATGGCAGCGGCGACCTCTATCCAACTTCTGGTGCAGATGATCTCGATATGCAGAGCGGCTTCTAGGCACACAAAGATTGCCAAGATATGACTGGCTTGGCGCGCTTGTCACTTACTTACTAAATAGTACTAGCGCCATCCCCAGATCATTGCTGCCTCTTCTGGTAACCAGACCTTGTGCAGATATCATACACCCCGTGAACCCCAATGTCGATCTGATATTATTGAGATGTCGATCGCTGCATGCGCGGCTGCTCAAGGCTGTGCGAGGTTTTCAATGCCTACAGGTTGGAAATAAAGGTAGGACAAGATACTCATACAGCAGCAGGCCACGGGAATGTTATGGAATGAATACTGCCTAAGGTGCCGAAACTGCTAGGCATGATGAGCAGAAGAACGAAGAGCGCAGACTCACTCCCAGCAGCCTTGCCACCTCCAGTAATCGTGCATGTGCACAGAGTGCCTTATCTCATTCTGATGCGACCCTGAAACCAATCCGTGCAAGCGAAAGAATCATAAGCGCACAACAGATTTCCGCATAAGCGTACCATGTTCACCTTTCTGCCCACGATTCTTCTAAGAGATCTCATATCTCTCTCCTTCGGGCTCCTCGTGATCGTACTGTTTCACCAATTCTTCTAATGGAATCCCAATATTTGTAGCATGTTTTGTCAAGTATAAGATCATAGTCTGGTTAAAATATGCTTGCCTCGTCATATTAATATGGTCCCATTTGATAGAATAGCTGCCATTGTCACTAACGGCACTTAATCCACATCTTTAGCTACCTCTTCTCCCGGTAAGAAGCTTGCAACACATGTCCTAACCTAGACTTTGCAATGACGAAGGCTATGGCCTCGACCAGTAGGCGACTGAATAGGCGTAGTCAGCAACCCTGATGAGAACAAATTGCCCGTCTTTCATAGCGAATTATACTCTATCACAGCCGCGCTCTCTTATGTTGTAGCTTTTGGAAAATTTCAAGACAACATATGAGGTAGATCGTCGTTGACTGCGGTTCCTTGTTCCATATCCTCTGACAGGAATAAGTTCTTTGTCCTAGTCCCTCCAGCGTGGTATGCATCTTCAAGAGGTGCGACTTACTTGCTGTTGTGTGAGCGTCACACTACGCTACCAGTGCTAACAACACCAGGCTTATCGAAGCTTGTGCAGTTGGGCACAGATCCGACTGCAGGCCCATCTTGCGCGTAAGTCCCGCCCGTCACAGACACACAAACACATCTGCAACCTCGAAAAATGGCAAAGGTTGGACGCTCCATTGGTCATGCCTCCCCATTTCCCATCAGAATCGCCATCCAGGAGGCGGTGTTCATTGAAAGACGCCAGCCCTTATCATAACCGACTCAAAGTCCTCAACCCCCACTCCTTTCGTAAGCCCCGCTCCGCCATTAGCCTCCAGAATCATGTTTCTTAGCATTTCATCACTGACGTCCTCCTTCAATTCCCTGGCCACTCTACGGAGATGAGCAATTGTGATTGGCCCCTCTGTGCCCTTCGTAAATAGTCTGTACGCGGTGCTCACCTCCTCGGCTTTCGAGTCGTCGGACCGTGCGTTAATCTTCAATGCGCAGACAGCCACAAAATCCGGGTAGGTAACGTAGCCGATAGAGTCTGGGTCGAGTATTTCGATGAAAGAAGATAGTTCTTGTGCATTTCGAGGAGGGATGCCCTGGGCTCTTCCAATCATTCCGTCAGCCGCGAATTTCTTCATGTGACAATGCTGGTCAGACGTACTTCATAGCCCGCCTAACATCCTCTGTGCGCATTACACCCTCCTTCTCATCTTCAAACCCCTCGACATCACGCGCCGCAAACATTCTCCATGCATCCTTGATCTCCGCTTCATCTTCCGCGGAGATTTCATTCTCCTGCGCGAGTTTGCTTCTTCGCGCTCTGGCGGGTTGTTTGCCTGCTGATGCGACGGTCTGGCGTTTCCTGGGTGGCTAGAAGGTTTAGATTAATACACATAATGTCTCCATAATAGGAGTAGAGTATGCTGGATCCCTACGTAGCTATGACTTACCATTCTTTGGGAAAGATAGACTACTCAGAAGCGATGCGACTAAGTTCGCGTGTTTCGTTCACCCAGAATAATGACGCGCCCCAGGACTCAGGAGATCGCCATTTGACCCAGGGTTTGCCAAGCCATTATCAACCTCACTAACTATTGTCATTATCAACTCAATCTAAAGATGTTTCAACGGCAAGTTTCATGGGACGGAACAGTGAACATGGACCAAGATAACGCTTACTGCTGCACACCACCTTCGGGTTGAGCCGTGTTTCACGCACATGGTAGCATCGAAGGCTGTTACCATATTCGTCGACTACTAGTAGTAGGTTGGATCCTAGACGAAACAGGTTGAGACAATGGTGAAGTAGAGATTCGACCACGCTTGTCGTCAGATCCGGACGGTGGGTTGTATGGTTCGTTCGATGATGTACGAAGATGTTTCTCAAGCGGATAGTGAAACCAATTCTATCGCGCTCCAAGGAAACGGATAAGATGCACCCGATACGCAAGAGCAAGTTGATTACTACGATCATAGTATTACAAGAAAAAATCCCAAGCATATTCTTCGACAGAAAGATATCGCATCAACGGATGCAACTTTGTTGAGAAGGTCAAGCAGTAAATTATCAGCGAAAGAACTTCCAACATGTCAAGTGTGAATTCTCGCAAGCTCACGGGTATCAAAGTACTTACCAAGCATTCTAGGCCAGCTCAAACTCGCAGACCCAGCGCTCTCTAGACAATCCACACCGCCTACACGAACAAGCGTATCTACCAATACATCAATAACGACTTCTAACCTCAAAAGGCGACCATCTCGGAGCAAATTGCCCAAGCCTCAACCCCTAACCACACCAGCAACGGCACCTGTACCAATAACGACCGTACACAGATTGAAGACGAGCACAAAGGGATTCACACCTACTCCGCCAGAGGAACCCCTTGCTCCTGTCTATATAGCAGTATACGAAGCTGAAGGCGTTCCTGGAGCAGGCTTCACCAGAGAATTCATGCGCCACAGCAGCATAGTCGCCCAGCCCTACTACAACATCAACCAATTCTTTGAGTACCACGTTAAGGGGAAGCCTCTCGAGCGTTTGACTTACGAACACATTTTGAGCCGCGACCCGAGAGAATCAATGAGAAATCTCTCATTCGACTTGGTTGCTTTGGTCCCTCGATCTCGGCTATGGGACCTAGACATCCTCTTCCGTAAGATTAAACCTCGTGTATTCAGATTGGTCAAAGACCAGCCAAGCAAAAGCTGGAATTCACAAATGTTTGTAACAGAGTGTCTTCGCAAAATGGTCGCAGCTCGCCTCATAACGAATCAGGAGATGAAAACAGCAATCGAAACGCAGCGGCGTGCTATTAACTCACCTTGGTCAGGTGAGTTCCCTAATCTCGACGCACTATCTCGGGAGCATTCCGACGAATTCATTCCTTGAATATTCAAACGACTTAATCAGCCAGCAATATGCTGATCGTTAGGCTGCTTCGGAGTTTGGCACAGAGAGCGCACCATGCTGGTTATGGACCCTTGAGCAGGATCGACGAGTGATGGGAGCAAGAGCAGGGGTTTCATTTGTACTTTAATCTGTAGCTCTATAATTCGTTTTTCGTAATTGTCGAGCAAGTGAAGGCATCTCTGAGCGATTACATGAATGCCATACTTGTTAGCCCAAGCACTCGCTTTTCAATATTTAAGATGTATCAGAAATTATTGCTAGACTACTGTGCAATGTAGATTCCGGGAGCATCGAGCTCGCTCATCGCTCGGAGTCTCAGGCTCCGGCTGGAGAAAGTTCTAGCCATGAAACCTCCATTTTTACAGCGCAAATTGCTTCTTCCTTGCTTAACGAGAACCCTTTGTCAAAGCCCTCGGCAACACTATACACACAATAAGTATTGCTTGTGCTACTGCCTTACACGCCTCAATGTGCTGAGCACCAATCAGAATGACATTCGGGCACACTAAAGAGTATCAGATCGTTGTTGAAAAGGAGTTTTCTGACCGTTGACATGAATTTCAATGTTGGCCAATTTGATATCCATCGAACAAATGAGTGAGACACGTGATTGTTTAACACCACCTACATGAGACATACCGGCTCAATCACAGCGAGCACTCTCGACCAGACCTTCCAACAACTGATTGGCTGACAGATCTCAGTCGTCATTCTGCTTCTTG